CAATATGAATCACGTGATTTAAAAGTGTCGTGATTAGAGGTTTTCAATCATATCAGAAAATAAACAAGCAAAATGAAATCCGTCAGCATTATAAAACAATTCGATGAATCAAATTCCCGTTTCTGCACGACACGATAAATTATCCAAAACTCAAACGCGTAATGGGAAAAATGCGAGCTTACGTCAAGAAATAACGGAAAAAGGAGAATCTTCAACGTAAGAATAGTTAAAGTTTCAAAAAAACAAAAAAATATTTACAGAGAGTTGTCTGTGAAAAGTAATAAATACCCTTGAGAAAAGAATATTTAGTAGTTAAAATGAGAAAAAAGATAGTCAAAATTAAAGAAAATATCTAAGGATTTCCTTTCTTGTTGTGTATTTTTCCTTAAACGGAATTCAATTCTCAGACCTTGATATTAAAATTGATGTTCAAGCTTGCATCAAACCGTTATTTTGCGATCACATTAATTTTCTCAAAATCAACTGTTTTTTTTTTCTTCTTTTATCTCTTTCTAACTTAAATGCAAATTACTAACTCAGCAATACATTTTAAGTGATTTGTTTCATTTTGTGAAACAGCCTTTGAAACTTTTATTCATGAGTTTAATCAATTTTTGATTGAAATTTTGACTCTAATTAAATTTGACTCTGTTGCAAATTAAGTCTCAAAAAGACAATAAATTGTGAGTTATATTTACTTATAAAAATGGAAATGAAAGAGAGAACTTAATGAGGAAACCCAAGTTCAAATCCTGGCAATGACTTGTTACTACCCTTCTCTCGCCTCTCACCAACCACTGTGTTGATGTTAAATATCCTCAGCATTGGATGGCACATATATCTTCCAATGGCACATATAAACCATCTTGCCACCGACATAAACATAGGGTATTTTCATGGCTTTCCTCTCTAGGTAACTCAAATACGTGTTGCGTTTACTGTTGTCCTCCGCAAATTTGAGTCTAAGTATTTGAACTGGGAATTCCCTGCCATCTGAAATTACAAGACTAAGCGTGAAATTCTTATTCTTGTAAACCTAATATAGATAGGCTAATCAACAAAAGTTTTAAAAAGTTTGCAAAATATGCATTATTTAAAATAAATGCTAAAAATTATTATGAGAAAACAAAACAGAAATAAAACAGTACAATTTAGTTCCTATTCTTAAACTTGCACAAAAAAACGATTCAACCATGTATCTATATGTGTTTAAAGTTTTTTTTATTGTTATTTTCTGTATTAGGAACTATGCAACTCTAACCCACTCTAGATTATATCAACTTAATATTATGACTTACAGGATTAAGTCAAGGAGAGATTATGTTAATGGAAAATTATGTTTGTTCTAAGCTACATGTTCATGCGAAATATTGTCACTCAAGATTATGCTAGTATGAAATTATCTCCATTTTAGAATATATCCATGCGAGATTCTATCTTTCAAGATTATGTTAATGTGAAGTTATGTCAAGTCTAAATAATATTCATGCGAGATTTTTTTAGAACAATATAATGTTAATGCTTAATTATTTCCGCTCAGTAATGCATCAAAGCAAGTTATGGTCACTTAATTTATGTTAATGTATAATAATATCCATTCCAGATTATATCCATGCGAGATTCGGTCATTCAACATTATGTCCACTCTAAAATATATTCACACAAGAATTTTTTCGCGAGATAGCGCCAATGCAAAATTATGTCCCCTTTAGATTATATCCATGCGAGATTCTGTCATTTAACATAATGCCCACTCTAAATAATATTCACACAAGATATTTTTTCGCGAGATAGTGTCAAAGCTAAATTATGTCCCCTTCAGATTATACCCATGCGAGATTCTGTCATTTAACATTATGCCCACTCTAAATAATATTCACACAAGATATTTTTACGCGAGATAGTGTCAACGCTGAATTATGTCCCCCTCAGATAATATCCATGCGAGATTCTGTCATTTAACATTATGCCCACTCTAAATAATATTCACGCAAAAAACATTTTTTCGAGATAGTGTCTGAGCTAAATTTTGCTCACTCTCATACGAAATTCTATCATGATGCATTATGCCTACTCTAAATTATATTAAAACAAAAAAATTGAGATGGTCCCAACCCTAAATTATGTCCATTCTAGATTATATCCATGTGAGATTTTGTCATTCAAGATCACAACAACGCTAAATTATCTCTCGCGAATTTGTTAAGAATTAACAAAATCATCCGCGTCAGTCAACCGAAACAAAAAATTTTCGAATTACTCAATAAAAGCAAAGTAATAAAAAAAACATACAAATTTTCATTGTTTCTTGTTTCCTTCATTTAAATAAAGTTTTCAAATAAATTCTAACAGCATTTTACCTTTTTTTATCACTAACGCGTTAAACTAATTTACATCTGCTTTAAAAATGTTATTTTTCGTCTTGCGAATTGCATTTCATTTCTTGCCATGAAAAATTTTTGTCCTTTAATTTTTGTTCAGTTTTTTTTTACAAAATAAACTAATTAGGGAGCAAGAAAATCTAAGAAAAATAAAACAAAATCTTTATTCTTGAATAAAAGCTTCTAAACTACTGCCACATAATTTCAGACTCCATACTCCAATAAATTTAATTACTTATACCATGTGATTAGACAAGTGTGTAAGTGATGATCTTGTTAAACAATAACATGCTTATTTCTCGCTGATAAAAAAAATTGCCAAGGTAATTAAGTTTGCCTTTTATCACATATTTGGTATTAAAAAAAGGCATGTCTGTGCGTGTAAGACAATAAAATAATCTGAATATTCGAAGACTCTAACACGCATTTGCAAATTAGCTGCTGTCATTTTTACTTGTTTTGATGGTATTAGTTAATGAGGTTACTTTAGAAAGATGAGAGTAAAAATGCCCTAATTTTTCCTTGCTTTGATTGAATCAGTGATTGAATTAATCTAAATAATTAATATTAATTTAAATAATTAATATTTTTTAAATTTTCAAATAATTAGAATTGTATTTTTTTAAAGTTTTGTTTAAATGAAGCATTGTGTAATGTGAAAAATAATATTATCTTATAAAATATTTGAATTTTGGTTCAGTTTCCTGAAGTTGATCCGGGTTCTGTTTTTGGACTTAGGGAATAAATAATATAGCAAATGTCTCCGATTACCATTATTTTTAGCTTATTCAAACTAATCAATTCTAAAATAAGATGTAAAATAAACTTAACACAACGAGAATTAATAAAATTTAAAAAAAACTAAAGGAAGTAACTACTTAAAGTCTAAAACTTTCTAAATTTTGAGAAAAGTAGACGATAAATTCTTTTCTTTCTTCCATGCACGCATTAATAGCTATCCTAACTATTAGTTAATGAAACATAAAGATATTCCAAACGAAAAATAATAGTTGTAAATGAACAATCAAAGCTTTTTATTAGCACTGGTCAGACACTTGTATCAAACAAGCCGCATACATTTTTCACTAGAAAATTTTTCCCTGTTTTAAAGCGCAGACATGAAATGAAACGATTTAGTTTTGCACAAAATCCTTTATAGAATAGGCAACTCTTACTTACTTAGTTCTCAAAGATGTACTTTTTTTTTTAAAAAACAAGAATAGTTTGTCACCAATGCGAGATTTTGTCGAAACGCATCACTGTTCTGCAGATATTTTGTCTGAAGCAGTGTTTCGTTTCTGCATTATCATATCCCTAATACATTTTGCCTCTCTAAAGTTTGACAACCAACAATAATTTTACCACTAGTAATTTAATTTTAAGGTTTACATTCACGAGAAAAATATCTAATATGAGATATTGTTAAGTGAGAATGCAATATTTTGACCGATATCTTATTTCTACTAGATTTTACATCGTTCTCTAGTTTTAGGTAAAAAGAACGCTAAGTAGGTGTATGAATGGGTCCGCCCTACAAACGGGTGTGGTAGAAGTCGATTTCTTGACCATAGATGGCGCCAATGGAAAACAAAAACAATCTTACCCTCAGTGCCCTTAGTGGCTTACGACGACAACAACCAGATTTTATGTCACTAGACTTTGATATAGAATCCACGATTTATATATCCGATAATTTAATCTCAAGTTTTTGTAGACGAGAAAAAAATTTCAATGCTAGTAAGGCATTCCCTCAATGTTTTGGAATAAAGAGATTATCTCCACGCAATATTTAGCCACTACGATACCTAATTTCTTTTAAATTTTTTATCAGTAGGCTTTGATCTAGAACGAATGATTTACTGTAATTTAGCCTCAAAATTTTGTACACCTGAAATATTTCGAATGAAAGATTTTTTTCATAGTTTAGATATTTCGTTTCACTGCTCATTACTATTTTTCTCATGCAGTATTTGACTATGTGACCAAAGTTGAGATATTTCTTCTTTGTTAATATACGTAAATATACTTCTTTGTTAATCTATATTTCTTCTTTGTTTGAAATGGAACAAGATAAGCTATTACCAGACACGAGAACTGAAAGGATTACCACAACAGGAGACAACCGAAATGCAGTAACGGGAAATAATATAATAAATATCACCTTGGGTATACCAAACACTGGAAAAGGTAAAAAGTTTGTATCAGGAAATAAAATCCTAAAAATCAAAAAAGGAAAACACTAAAAAAGAAGTGGAAGTGGAAGCACTGATATACTTCATAAGGGGGCATTAAAATGCAGTCAGTGCGGTAGCTGCTTCTACCACCAACCACAGATCTCAGAATATTATATATATATATATATATATATATACAGGNTGAGGGTATATATATATATTTATACATTTTTCAAAACTCCACTAATATTTAAATATTTTAATTATAGTAACTCTCATTAGTTGCGGCTACAGACATGCGTAAATATAAACTTAATCGGTCACTTCAGAAAAGTTAGATTAATGAAATAGGAGTTTCATCTCTTTCCACATTCCAGCGAGAAAAAAGTTCCATATTACCATAAAAAGTGACACAATTTTAATTTGAGGTTTCTTTATTGGTTCGATTTTAATTTCAGTCAGGGCATCAAATACTGACAGCCGTGAATTTGTGTTTCATGGATCCTTGAGCAAATTCTAAGAGAGCGTAGCAAAATAAAATTAAGAACATAATACAAGATGGACACGATGCAGAGTTCGACACTACTTCACAGTTAACGTCTTTCACTCTTAAGTCAACTATGGAGAGGGTGCTGTTGGTACCAGGAATCGTGCACGTGGTTTTTTTGGACACTGTGTTCACGTATAAGGCTGCTTCAACACTTAGCATGTGCACGTGAAACGTCTCTATCAGCCACCGCCTCATCCATCGACCTAGCCACAAAAGCTCACAGCTGCAATTCCAAGGATTCTCTTCCAGAAGTACACCACCTGAAAAAGAAGATGTTTGAATGCTACAACAATTTATATCTAACTTCAGTTGGACTTCTATGTGTCGAAACTCGTTACATTAAAAAGCAAAATTATTGAGAAATATACCGTTTAAGTATAATCAGCAAGTACCTTGATAGAACCAAAATAGAAAATAAAGAGAAAATAAAATCGAATTGCTACTAGGTTGTTTTTCGAAGGATGTGTCGTCATAGATTGCTTTTTATCAAATTATGAGCTATTTTTATAACTATTCTATCTTCATAACAGTTATTCATGGCGGTTAGGTCAAGTTTTGTTCACTTTCAGCCAATGCCTTATATGCTAATTATGAAAAAGTGCCAAAATTGTTTGAGATATATTTCTTTTAATGCTTGAAAGGTTACTGTAGCACTCGATTGTACGGACTAATTAAAAATTATAATGAAAAAAACAATATATTTAAAATTGCCGTTTTAACCCCTTGATGTAGATGGGGCACTGTTCAGATTTTTGTGTATTTTTTCTGGCATTCTAATTACAAGTAAAAATGTATTTTGGTGTTTTTTATTTTAAAAAATAGTCTAATAGTAACTAGAAAAATCTGCTGGATTATAGGAATTGTATTTGTACTAAAATATAAAATCCAAAAAAATTAGTTTGAAAATTTTTTTCATTCATATTTAAAAATTTATCAATTATTGATTTTATAAATTAAAGAACTTTCAATAATGAATAATTATTTCTCTTAAATCTAAATAACTGCAAGCAAGTGCAAACAAATTATAGTTTTGAAGTCAGCCATGTTTGAAAAATTTACTTTTAACGCAAAAAAAAGATTCATACTGTTTTCATAACCATGAATTATAAAAATGGGAAATATAATATTTTTCTCCTTTTTCGACTTGAATTAATACACAATGATAAAAAAAAGTCTGAGAAATACGCTTAATAAAAATTTTGCATCAAAGAGTTTATGGATTTTATTAATTTTCATCTGTGTGGGAACATTATGATTTCTTTTAAATTGGTATATATTATTTTTAAATACTTGCGGAACATGTATGTTTTAAAGTTTAAATCATAAAGATTGCAATTAAAAAATAATTTGCAAATTAATAAAAAACAACAAAATCGCAGATCCAATCAGTGACCTCTAAAAAGGTTGATAGCCTGATGTCTTGCGTCAGCTGCTAAACACTTTTCGAATGACTACAAAACCAAGGAACCCAAAAAAGAAGTCAATTAATCTCCTCTGTATAAGTTTATATAAGTATTAAAATCGAAACCGCGAAGTAAAATAATCCAATTTCAAACAAAATAAAAATGAAAAGAATAACTGATTACATTTCAGCATAACCAGAAGAAATGGAGAAAAAAAGGAGAATTTTTCATTTATCCATCGAAATTACCCAGCTGAGAACTTTTAATTGTTCCGATACTTATTCAAAATTTAAAACTTAGGGTGATGTCTGCTTCATTTTCAAACAGAAGAGAACAGATTCCTAATTTCCCTGACAATAGTTTTCACTTAACTGAATTTGCACGAATCTAAAAAGACTTCAGCGTAAAATAATTCAAAAACTAAGAACCACATCAATAACCTTTTTAATGTACAAAAAATATCCCTGGAAGACGAACAAAAAATGTTCCTCAAAAAGATGTTCCTAATAATTTAATGAATTTTATATCCTTTCCAGCTTTAATTTTTTTATACTCCGTTGCAAGTTAAAAAAACACCATTGCCGTATAGGATTCAAGTAATCATACGAGACTGCATGTAGTTCTGCTTTATTTCGTTATCAAAATATACAAATATCCATCTTTTATGATATATATCATAGAATTATTTTAAAAAAAGTTTATAGTTTAGTATAGTCCAACTGGAACTCTAGACTTGGCGACAAGCTTCGGTAAATAAAAAAAAACATGTTCTGGAGAAAGGAAAAACTGTATGATGTTGCAATAGCATTGGATTTGATTTGACTACGAAAAGTAACTCGTCTTATGCTGACATGCCCTTAACAAATCAAATGCGATATAAATAATTTTTACTCTTGTTTTGCCGTCGAAGAAAATAGTTTGCGAGACACAATATCTATCATTCTTTCAACAGTGTCTTTAAATGCGAACAGAAAGTAATATTTAAATATAATGCAACTCTCTAATTTCACGAAAAACAATAACAAAAAGATTTACCAAATTTTATTACAAATTATAAAACCATATTTTATGGTTAATTTTACCAAAATCATTAACAAAGTTCTTCGGTAAAAATTACCAAACTTTCCGGCGTTTCCATAGAGCAAGAAAAATGGTAAATTTCACCCTATTTTGGTAGTTTTTGACTATACCTTTTTTTCTCAATGTAAAATTACTTGGCAAAAAGCATGTATTTAATTATTATTTACTGACATTTTAAATTAATTTTGTCTTAATAAATAATTATTATTACCAGTTATATGTTGAGTCTGATAAGCATCCGGTCCATCTCTAGTCATAGCTGCAAGGACTTTGGGACCCATTGATGCTAGTTGATTATTTCTCAAGTCTAGTGTCAGGTACCGGACATCCGGCAGGTATCTCAGCAGACCATCCGGAAACTGATTGACCATCGTTCCACTGATTCGAATGGTCAGCTCGTGAGTCAATAAACCGGCAAATGCGTCGGGTAGTATCTTTTTCAAGTTCTGCCCATTGATGACGAGTTCTCGTATCTTGGTACCAAATGCCCTCTGTACTTGATGAGACAAGATCGACTCTTCTATGTTGATGACCACTTTCTTGAGTGCCGATGCTTGGGAAAGGAGTTCTTGGAGGCGGAAGGAACGAACGGAAGCATAGGAATCTGTTTTGATTGAGGTTAGGAATCTGCAAAAGACGAGTTAAATGAAATTTCTAGGTGCTTCTAAACAATTTTTTTTTTTACTTGCAACCTGAAACCGAAGACAAAATTACTTTCAAATCATAATCATATTATTTAAATTTAAAAATTATCATTGAAATATTTGTATTTTTTATTCTAATTCAAAATGCCGGATAAGTTTTGAGGGGTAGTAATAGTCCATACCTGCTAACTTTTACGCATTTGCTTAAAATTTTATTTCTGCTTTCAAAGTGGTAGCAAAATGTATGTTTTCTATATATTTCTTGTATTTATAAACTTAATTTGTTGACCACCACTATTTTTTAAAAAAATAAGCATATATATTAATATGTAATACCGTTATGGTACTCCGTATAAGCTTCCTTAAAATGCAGCGTATGTTTCTTCCTAAAATTGTAAATTAAATTCCATTTTACTACCACTGGGAAAAATCATCGTCGAAAGGATTAAAAGTTGGCAGGTATGTAATACATTTTGAAAGTAAATACTCTTTTACACCGATTACTCGAAATCTGCGCCAAAATTAGTTTTGAAACTTGCGTTTGGCTGCTTTTAATTTAAGCATTACAGAAAAAAAAAATTTTGAATCTATAATTCTAAAGGAACATCTAAATTAGTTTCGAAAAACAATTGTCTGCATTGAAAGTAAACATTATTATTTTTTTTTTAACTCGTTAAAAATCCAAATCATTCATTTTTCTCAGTGAATCGAAATCAGTGTTCACATTACTTTTGAAACAACATAATCAATTTAAAATTTAAAAAATAATAATTTGCAAACTAAATGAATAACCCTAAAAATAGAAGCGGTAAGATATTACTTGGTTTACAAACTTCATTGGCTTTAAGAATATCCAGATGGAAGTAAAATTCGACATGTTTCAAAAGCTCAAATATAGGCTTCCAACCTGAAGACTTGCTCGACATGAATGAAAAGAAACAAAAGTGATTTCAAATATAAAACGTAAAGTTACTAACGAAAAATGGAAAATAATGGTGAGGAAGAATGCTAGAAAAATTACAATAGTCATAAAAACAAAGTAATAAAATAACAGTAATAAAAACCTGTAATAATAATAGTAATAAAAACCTGTAATAATAATAGCAATAAAAACCTGTAATAATAATAGTAATAAAAGCCTGTAATAATAATAGTAATAAAAACCTGTAATAATAATAGTAATAAAAACCTGTAATAATAATAGTAATAAAAACCTGTTTTGGTTTTAAAGTCATTTCAGACAAAATTAAATTTAAGTGAAGCGAAATTAAATTTAACTGACTTTTTTTAACAAAGCAATACGTAACAAATATTTTTTTAGTAATATAAGGGCAAAAATTATTTAGGTTTTTCAAAATTAACCTAAATATATAGCTTTTTAATTATACAGCAAATAATAGAAATGCGTGGACTACTATTCAAATGTGCTGTATACTTCTTATGGCAACAATCAATCGCAAGTTAACTCAAACAAAATTATTTTAATTTTTTACATTATTTTATAATCATCGTTGAACAGTCGACTCAATTATGAGTTTACGGTTGCCAATGCTTAACTTCGTTGCTTTGTAATTTTGAACCCAATCCTGAAGACAAGCAAACTTCTGGATCAAGTATTGGAAAACAATTTGCCTCCGTGGAAGACTTTTTGATGAAACTAACCCGCATTACATGGAAAGGAAAACTACCAAAAACTCCCACGGTTAGCCTGAAGGCAAGGGGATTGAAACCAATGACCACTGAGGATACTTTACGCAAGCACTGTGCAGAATTCGTATTGAACAGCTATCTCGGGGATTCGAACACGGTTCAGCTCATTGGGAGACTTGTGCTCTATCCCCTGAGCCACCAAGGCTCAAGCAAAAGTATCGAGGCGAAAAAAATACGAAGATAGCAATGTTTAACATAACATATTATTAGATTTTTAAAAAAGTGTAAAAAGTATGAGACCGTATTTTGAAACATGCAAAATGATTTACGTGTCAAAGTTCAAAAAATAAAGTGGAGAAGTCGATATGTTCCGAGCACTGAAGACAGTCGCCTATTATCAAAACTAACCAACGCGTGAAAAATGAAAACAACCAAATTTGAAAAGGTGGAAAAAAAAGACAACGATTGCTTATGGGAGTGACTGTGGCCGAGGAAGACAAATTATGTGGATTAGAGGATAAATAAAAAACTGCTGTCTTTAACAAAGAAACCGATTTTCACGTAAAGGAAATCATATTTCGAAACACTAAGATGAGATAGTTTGATAAGAGTAGGAAGAACTTGGGCTTTTTTGAAATATAACTTACGCCCAAAATTCTGACATTGTTACGAATTCTGATTAATTTATCGTATTTGTATAAGATTAACATTTATGGTAATAAAATAAAAATATACGATGATTAAACCATTCATTTGGTAATTTTTCCTTTCGTGCAGTATTGGTTCACCAGAAATTCTGGTGTTCAAAATTGTAGCTCTTATTACCATACACTTAGTAAAAATGCAAAACTGAAAAGTAAATTTAGCCAAATAAATGGTTTTTATGTCATACTCTAAGGTATAATTATAAAATACCCAACTTTTAGAACATTTACTATCAAACAGTATAGTTATTAAACCGTACGTTTTGTTAGTGTTACCAAAAGTCGTTACTAAAGCATTTCGGAAAAAATTACCATGCTTTTTTATGTTCCCATAGAGTCAGAAACAAGAAAAATTTCACCCAATTCTGGTAGTTTTGAACATTCTTGTTTTCTTAGGGATGATTTTTTGAATGCTTGATGAGGGACATAATTCAAACGTTCCCTTAATCTAAATTTTAAAGCGCGTTTGTTGGGCCCAATAAAGCCATCAAAGTAGAATATACAAAGAATGTGATAAATCAACGACAAATATCTACACTAATAGGCTTTTTCTGGACCTTAAATTTAATTATGTTTTGGTATTCTTCTAAGCTGAAAAAAACTTTAAATCTAAATTAAACAGGATATTAGTATAATTTAATTTAGGTAAAGTCAAATGTCTTTCCAATTCTGTCACATCAGCTCATTTTATGCTTTCTAATCTTGTTTTATTCATATAATTACTGAATCTTTTGTTAATGATATAAGACCCTCACCGAACCTCCCTTTCGCCTAGAAATAAATCCTTTCCTGATATGCCTTTTTAGGCTACGATCACTCACCTCGACTACCATGGCTTTTCTTATTTCTTTTAACTTTTAGAATCCCCCCCCCTTTTTTTTTCTTTGCGTTTCTCTGCTTAACTGAGTTTTGCTTTAATCGTTCGCATGTTGGTTAGCTTTGAAAATGTGCAATTATTATGAATTATGTCTCCTTTTCTTATTTAATTTTTAATAGAAATGAAGCTTTTTGTTTCACAAGTAAGTTCTTCTTCTTTGTCAGCGCAATAGCCCCTTGCAGGCCTTGGCTGCCTCAACAGCTGACAAATGCCAGCGCCTCTTGTCCATCGCAACTCCCTTCCAATTTCTAATCTTTAGGGTTTTTAGGTCATTTTCGATGTCGTTGAGCCATCTAGTAGGGGGTCTGTCTCTGGGACGAGACCCCTCGGTTCACTCTCTATTATTCACACCCTGTAAAAGAGCGATCTAAATTTTGAACTCATTAATATTAATTTTAATGCGCATTTCCCAATATCTCGATACCTTCTTAGGCGAATCAAAAAATATTTGCAAATAATTATGAAATTCATTTATCCACTGGTAATATTACAGAATAAATAATTTAAATATGTATATAACATATATATATATATATATA